GCTCTTAATCGCTTTAAGAAAACCCTCTGGTTCTCTGCATTTCAAAGCGTCCTGGCTTTGCTTTTCCTTAACACAACTCCGAGGGAAGCCAGGGATACTTATCAGGTGCACAAAAGCAGCCCTCCACCGGGGTTCATCTTCACCGCAGCTGCTTTCCAGAAAACACAGAGCTGAGGGCAAATAAACACCAAGACGGGGAAAGTCATTTTCTTATGAGGTTTACGGGCTGGTAGGCCTGCGGACGGAGGAAAAAAAAGAAAAAAGGAAAAAAAAAAGCAACCCATCACATCCTTACCCTGTTTTCAAGCTGACCAAGGCATCCTCCACTCCCTTCTGATTGAATTTTGTCATGTACTGATGCATGTAGGGGTAGTTATTACGAATGTTTCTCTCAGTACTGCCGTTAGGCACCGTGCCAAATCGGAAAGGTGGGGAATAGTCGTGAGGTCTCTGAAACTGGAGAGAGAAAGAGGGAGACAGACGGACAGACAGACAGGGCAGAGACAGAGAGAGAAGAAGTCAGCCACCATTCTGTCTTGTGTCAGAGTTCAACATACGCATGACTTACAACATCCGCACAGGACGGCTGAACAAACCGAGAATTTCTGGGCTTCCTTTTTTATTTAATCACTCCTGCCACTGGCCTGCGAGCTCTAGGAGGTCAGGAACAGCATCTGTCTCGTTCCCGCCTGTCCCCCAGTGCCCAGCAATGGGCCAGGCTGGGTGTGCTAGAGACATCTGTTGGATCGACTTTTTCGACCCCGTTATAGAGCTAGCCTTGTGGTGGGCACGCGGGCCATACTCAGGAGAACACCAAGTGGGCTAGAATGAAGGTATTGCTTTACTCGGTTCGTTTATCTATCTTCTAGTGAAATTTTCTGCTTTCCCCACCAATTGCTCCCTTCTCTGAATCCCACTGACAAGTGCCGTCACCTCCCCCAGGAAATGATGAGCAATGGAACGTATCACCCCAAAATATGCGTCCTTGGCATAAGAGGCTGGCTTCTTTGGCTGGCTATTTTTAAGAAATAGCAGACACAAAAGAAGCTCTGGAGAGACGTTAACCCTTCTGTAAGAGGCATTTACACGGATAAGGGCAAGCTCTACCTACAAGGAGGTCTTCCCCTCAGCGCCCGGAAAAGGAAGAGGATTTGAACTGTAGAAACTCTTACCAGTGTTGAAGGCACCAACTTAAATCTGCCTGATAACCTCACCCTTGTTTAACTGTGCTTTTCCTGACAACCTCCCATCCCTGGCCTCCCCACCCGGGCTTCCAGCATCACTCTTTTGTGGTTAGCTGGAGGGGCCGTTCAAGCTGGAGGCTTGGGCCACTTCAGGGAGGTACTCAGTTTTCCTGGACATGTCCCATGTCTACGGAAGGCATCCATGCTATTAAACTTCTGTTTGTTTTTCTCCTGTTAATCTGTCCTTTATTACAGAGGAGTCTCAGCCAAGAACCTATAAGGGTAGAGGGAAAATTACCTTTCCTCCCCTACAAGCTTGCCATTCATTCATTCTCCACTCACCCATTCATTCACACACGCATGCATCCTAGACTTATTGGGGGCCTGATCTATTCCAGGCACGATGACAGGCTCCATAAACATTTCTGGAGCTGAAGTTCCTCCTAACCATTAGCCTCCCGGTGATGCCCACGTCTTGCTTGGCTCTCAGGCCTCCAGAAAGGTTGGATGTCCATATTCTGCTTCTCTTCCCTCATTAGCGGATACCATCTGTTCACAACATCAGTATTTGGGGCAACCCAACCAGATTCGGAGTCAAGAGTCCTAGGTCTGAGTCCCAGACACAGAAATAAAATCTCGCGTCAGCACAGGGAAATAGGTACAAGTGTGAGCTCAGGTTCAGAGGTTAAAAAATCGGGTTCTGTCATTAACAAACTGCGGGACCTTGGATAAAGCACTTCACGCTGTCCCCATTTGTTTCGTGTCCCTAGAGTGGAAAACATACCAGTCCTTCCCTTGCAGGGTCAACGGGAAGTTCTAAAATTATTTTAATTTGTCAAGTAATTAAAATACGGCCTGCGACAGACTAAGCACTCAAAAACAGTTACTATTATTCTTTATTTTTACTATTAGCATGGGTAAAAAAGTAACCTGGGCTTCATTTTTCCATGACGTATGACATTCTGGTACTATAAAGGAATGATAACAATGGCCAGCCCTCTCCGAGGACTTGCTTGGGGCCAGCCGTGTGCCAAGGACTTTACAAATGTTGGATCATTTCATCCTCATGATGAATCTGCCCGGTAGCTCATCTTGGAGGCTCCATTTTACAGATGAAGAAACTGAGGCTCAGAGAGATTAGCTGACCTGTTTAGGATCCCACTGCTTACAAGCAGCAGCCCAGAATCCAATCCTTCGTATGCCTGTCCTCACGAACTCTGTTGTTCCTCACAGACCGTCAATAGCAACCCCTCCTCTTTTAGAGGGAAGGGAAGGACACCCAGCAAAGCCACGGCGGGACCAAGGCTGGGATCCACAGATGTCTCCGACTTGCAAGCCAGCCTGTCTTCCGTGCAGCTCAGAGCTGCTGGAGAAGGCGTCCGAGTTTACCCAAGTCAAACGAACTGAAAACATCTTTCTTCCGTCCAGACTCACACTCCACTTTACCGTTAATTAAAATTTCCAATTGAAAACCGTGTCCCCTAAATCAGGCACGCCGCTGTGTAATACGCAGCCACCACCGCATTTGGGGGAAGTGGCCATACCCTGTCCAAATGAGACCCTGCTGCTGGTGCCTTGCCTTGGGAGACTGCGTGTGTGTGTGTGCGTGCGCACGCACCCACGTACGAACAGCAAAATGCTCTTTGCACTTAGTGTGGCAGGCAGTGCCCCAACTCATCACCAAGCGGGGAGGGGGCGCCGGCACGGGCTCGTTGGCACGGCAGCCACCGATTCTGGGGATTGCAGTAATGATGCTATTCGTAAATCCAGCTGTTAAGAGCAGCCGCCAACCCTCCGGGGGCGTGGACCGTTGGACCCCTGGACCAGGCGCCTTCCGCTCCAGTCCCCATCTGCGGCACAGAAGCCACGTAGCTCTTCAGGTTTCCTTCCAACCCTGTTTCTCTTCACACAGTGATGGAGACGGATATTCGGCCTCAGGGATGAATTTCCGTGCGTCCCGGGCCTGGACTGGACCCTCTCTGCATGCAAAATCCAGCCCAGCACCAAGATCCAAGAACCTTTCCCATTATGTAAAGGCTGTCAAACTTTTTAAAGCAGGGCTCTCAGGGCACAGTCCACAGCCCAGGACACTCCTTCATGCCCACCCCCTCCACGCGCACACATGCCGCACACACGCGCACACACACGTGGGCACCCCTGCGGGGCACTTCTCCTACGGGGGATCTATTCTAACGTCATCCGTTATGTTCTTTTTTTTTTTTTTTTAAAATGGTCACAACCCCTGAATTATTTTCATGACTCACTCAAAAGCCAGGACCTACACGGTGAAAAACAGGGGCAAGCACAGCTCATCTCTTAAATCCCAGGGCCTCCCACTGAGGACACAGTCCATGTACTTGACTGGAATGATTTCCAGCGCCACCTTCTCCCGGAGAGTTCCGTGTGCAAACAGAAAGAAACAAACGTGGGCTCAAGCAAAGGAAGGGGTGAGGCAGAGAGGTCCCCGGTCAGCCTGAGACCACAGAGCAATGTCATCACGATGCCTGGGGGCAGGAGAACTCCCTGGGACTTCTCGCTCTGAAAGCAAGCCCTTTAGGGTAGAGGAAGTAGAGATGCAAGATATGGGAAATGAAACGTTTAGGGAAAACAATGGCAACTGACCAGGACATTGCTTCATTCCTTTAACACACCCAAACTATACACTCGTTAAAAATATCTGCCTTCTGTGGCTATAAGTAAGGGGCCTTGGCACCTGGGAGCCCCGTGTCTCAGGTACGGTCTTCTCCCGCGGGTGGTGGGCCGCACGCTTCTGGGGTTCAGCATGAAACAACTGGGGGCCCTTCGCAGGGAGGAGAGGTTCAGAGGCCTCTCTGTTCAGCCAGTGACCACCCAGCAGTCTGGACGCAGCGCTGAGAGACAGCCCAGCTCCACGGGGACACGTGCCAGGGCTCCTCTGCCAAGGAGACTCCTGGAAAACCCCCTTTTATCACCAAAGGCCAGCTAATGAAGCGGCTTGTGAGACCCCGGACGTGAGGAAGGGGCTCACCAGGCAGGGAGGCTGATCACGAAGGAGGAGGAGGAGGGCGATGAAGAGGAGGGAGGAAGAGGAAGGAGGACGAGCCCTTCTAATAGGATTATCCACCATGTGCCAGGCACAGGGTGGCGATTATTTCTAAGCCTCCTATCAACCTTGCCAGCGAGGTATTAATACGCGCCCCCACTCTCGTTAGGAAATTAAGCCTTGGGGATACGGACATACCGAAGGCCCCATGACCATGTTGCGGCAAGGTCAAGATCGGACCGCAGGTTCACCGGACCCCGAAGACGACAGTTGCTCTTCCCACCACATTACCCTGCTTCCCAGGGATGGAGCTCCGCTACCCTAGGGATCGCCAGCACGTTGGAAAGGTTCCCCACCAACATTTCAACTTTCCTTCAGTAATTCCTAGGGGAGCATCTACCCACGAATCTGCTTATTTATAATTGAAGCCAAGCTCATCTGAGCACTGTGGGCTTCAAAGGTGCTTTTCCCAGCAAGCACCGAGGCTGCAAAATGCTTGAAAAGCATCATAAACCCAAGTTGTTCCATAGGTAATGGTGATTAAAAAAGGGGGGGGGAGGGGAGGAAAGCCCACCGTGTATCGTATTAAAATAAATTGATTCAGTACAGATTTTTGTTTTGCAGACTTTCTTGGGATATCTGCTATTAATCTTCTGGGAGCATTTAGCTTATGTACTCCAAGAATTTTGCTGTTTATCTAATCGTATCAAGCATTTAATTAAGAGAGCTAGCCGCCTGCCGCTAACGCTCTGAGCTTGGAGGCCGAGCTGTGTCCCACGAGGATGTGGGATCTGTTCCTGGGTGTCTCCGAGTCAGGGAAGGTCAGACAAATTATTAGTGCTTCTAATTAGTTTTCTTACAAGCGGTCATGTTATTTAGACCTAAAACTCTGTGGCCAGGGACTGTTTTCTCCCCTTGCCTTTGAACATGGCAACAAAGAGCAGTGTGGGCTACCAACTACTTTCTTGAGAAACCCTTTGCTGAAGACGCGGCTCCCACTGCTTCTGCAGGACCTCCAGCTGCTTATTTTGGCCCCCACGGTGTGACGGCGTCATGGCCCGGTGCTTTGTAGCCGTAGGGGACTCTAGGGGCTACAAGGCACGTTCACGATGGCTGTCTCCTATCGCGCTTGCTCCAGCCTCTTCTCCCAAATGTAGGGGGAGGGATGAGGTGGCGGGGCCCACGCAGCCCGCACGTGGTGGGTGGTGGAGGGGGACAGGGGGACGGGGACAGGAACAGAGCCTTCCTGACTTGATCTGCTGTCTCACAGGTGCCATGAGCTTTAGAAGCTAACCCAGAGCCAAGGCTTGGGTGAACACCATATAGTAAGGACGGACTCCCGGAGAGATCTGGAAGGGAGCGTGGGCAGGAGGTCAGGGATTAAGAGGAAGCCAACTGAGGGGTGATTTGGGGCAATGTCTCAGCTTCCACCTGATGCCGCAGGGAGCTCCAGAGAAAGCGTCCCTTGGGCGCCTGGATGCAATGGAGTTGCTGGGGTTTTGGGCCCACAGTGGTTGGCTCTTGGTTACAGGGAACGAAAGGACTGGGGGAAATCCAATCTCCAGGCCTTTACTGTTCCAGGGCACCAAGGTCAACACCCTCTGAAGATCCCTGCTAGGAGCCTCTGTTAGCAAATGGGGGATGGGCACACAGAGCTGGAAAAGGGGACACCGGGAGAGCTGGATGGGGCACCCACAGTGTCCTCCACACCACACACTTCTCACTCAACATACAAGTATGTCCTGAGCACCCCACACGCCAACTAACTCTACCCTTAGCACCACCTCTAATCTCATCAGTCTCACCTCCTTTATAATACTGGTCCTGCCTGAGATGTTCTTCCCCATTTACGTTTACTTGCCTGTTGCTTATTACTTTCTACTAGAATTTAAGTTTCATGGGAGCATAAGCTCAGGCTGCAAAGTTCGCCATAGTGGCTGGGAAGACCTCTCTCAGGAGGTGATATTCCCCCTCAGGCCTGAAAGTCAAGCAGGAGCCAGCCACAGATACTGGGGAAGAACATGCAAGGCAGAGCCCGTGACCAGTGCAAGAGTCCTGTGGTGGAAAGATGCTTGGGATACTGAAGGAACGTGGTGGCGGGAGTGGGGGAGGGGGCTCATGAGCAAGAAGGAGTGTACTCCTGGGGGGTGGGCCAGAGGATCCAGGGCTCTGCCGCCACCAGAAGCAGCCTGGCATTTACTCGAGCCGCAGTGGGAAGCCATCAGAGAGAGACCAACCCAGCCCCCGCCCCTCATCATCTCCCTGATGACAGGCCTTCTCTGCGCCTCTTTCAAGCACAGCGTATGTCACAGAAAAGCGGTTAGGGCTTTTCATGGTTGATTTTCTATTCAGCAGTTTGTTGATGAATGCCAAAAGAATATACGTAGACTTATGTCAGCAAGACACGCTGGTGAGATTTTATAAAGAAAGACGATCACCCGCATACACGAGCCGGACAATCTCGGCCGAGCAGCAATCCCCACACTGCTGAGCTTAGCAAGTCAGAGTCTGTTTGCTGAACCCACAATTTCAATGGAAGGATGCACCCAGTTTACCTCTCTTCTTCCCCTGTGCGCCTTTCTCAATAGCCCACCCCCCTCGCAGCACTACAGCAGAGAATGGAAATGGCAGGTGTGAGTCCTGCCATCTTGCTGATTCGGGGAGCACAGCCCCATGTGGCGGGGGCTGGAGACACGCCTGAGTAAAAGGAGCCGGTGGCGAATGAAAAGCCCTCTCTGTTCCTTTTGTGTCCCCTGAGGAAATTCCAGGTGAGTTGAGGACGCAGACGGTGGGGCTGCCCAACCACCCGGGTCAAAAGGAGCTGTCAGTCTGGTCTCCGGATAGGCTAGGCCTTAGAGATGACTTTCGTTCATGTCATGGATGAGAAACCCAAGACCTGGCAGGTCCTAGAGACTCGGCCAAGGCCGGAGAACAGGAAGGTGGCTACAGCTAAGAGCACCCTGCTTCCTCCCAAGTTGTCCCCCATTGAGGCTCGTCGTCTTCTCCACCATCACACGCTCCCTTGAAGGGAGAACCCTAATCTGGGCCCTCCCACGAGTCACAGAGCTTTGGGAACCGTCCCTGTCATGATCCTGTAAATATGAGAAGGGACCCTTTGGCAGAAACAATGCTTCCTAACGAGATCTGGAATCTTTTAGCCCCTTCAGGGCTGAGCTTAAGGTTCTGTTTCTAAAATTCTTAGCAGTATGTCAATTTAAGTTCAGAAGCCAAAAAACCCAAAAACAAAACCCGTCTGGCTTTCGGCTTTAGAGTCAGTTGATGGGTTTGGATAATAGGAGCCCGCATCGCACTCTTCTGAGCAGAGAGCAGGTAAGAGCCACCCCTCGGGCAGTGAGGAAAGCGAGGTGACCTTACCTTTTTGTCACTGAGGCCGGTCACTTGGTCCACGAATTCCTCCTGGATCATGAAAGCAGCCAGGTTGGCCGTGTAGCTGGCCAGGAAGATGACGGCGAAGAAGGCCCACACAGACACCATGATCTTGCTGGTGGTCCCTTTGGGGTTCTGCACAGGCACGGAGTTGTTGAACACCAGGCCCCAGAGGAGCCATATAGCTTTGCCAATCGTGAAAGAAGGCCCGTGGGGTGCTGCCAATAACAGAAAGGACAGTATCGTCTCCGAAGGACAACATGGCGGCCACCCGCAGTCCTGCCGCAGGTCCAAAGATGGAACGGGTCTCTCATGCTTGCCCCCCATCACTGCCCAGAACCCCGGCCGCCCCAGCTCCCTTTATCTTCAACAATGAGCACTCCTCCCGCATTTCTGGCTAGATTCTTGCCACATTTCTTGAAAGAAGGGGAAATCAAAAATAAGCAAGAAAGGAGAAGCAAACGGCCATGTAAAATGTGGGTTTGGATGAGACGTTGCATTCGGGCCGGTTGTAAATTTGGATTTAATTTCCATTTGGGGGAACCAATCTCCTTTAATAGATAGAGCGCGCCTTACAAAAATGTGTGCGTGGGGGCGGCTTTGGTTCTCACCGGGTGATGTGTGGTATTCTAATCCGACTGTCCCTAGCAACTGCTCCTGCCCAAACTCAGATGGGAATGAAACCAAATGAAAAGGAGAGTAGAGGAATGAAACCACAGTAGAGGAATTCCACAGTAGAGGAATGAAACCAAATGAAAACCCTCTGCAAATGGAAACATCAAGGAGCCAAACAATAGAGCTTCATTCTTCCAGCACTTCCCAGATGGAAGACATGTGGCTGCAGGTCATGGACCTGCTTTGATATCCCAGCACTTTCTCTCCCTCGGTGTAGCCTTGAAACACCTACAGGTCCCTTTGAAGATTCTGAAATGGGCCTTGTAGCCAGCTGAACTAAAGAAGCAGGGCAACATGGCCCAATGTGCTGGTGGGGAAGGGTGGGCTACGCACACTGGGAAATGCACTCCATAGGGCTTTCACAACTCTTTTGCACAAGGGGGAAAACAACCAATGTCTGCCCTCATTTCATAGGCAAAAGGTCTTCCTTTAACAGAAGGTTAATTTTCATGTCATTTAAGTAAATGAAGATTTGAAAAAATGATCTACTCAGACTTTAGTTGGCAACATCAGCAGAGCAGCAGAAGTAAATCACGGATCAAAGGTATGACGATCCGGGCAGGGAGCCTGGGAGAGGCAAGCTTTCTGCACTTTGGAGGCCAAACTCTGGCTACACCAATATTTATAACATCCCCCATTCAGCACATTAAAGGGAAGTCAATTAATTCTGGTATGCTCCATCTCAAACTCTTCCATCTCTCTTTGCCTAGTTTCATAATAAATCTTCTGGGCTTATTCCCAAGATGCCAAGAACTCTTAGGAAAAAAAAATAATTAGAGCCCATCCAGTTAACTTCATGAGCTACTTAATTTTATTAGGGATGCGTGCTGGCCAGGAGTGATGGCTGTATGGGAATCAGAAACAGGCCCTTGCAGGGGTTCTGTCCAAGACTTTTGGGAATTCCTGATTCATGAATACCATTACTGAGCCGTGCATAAAATCTTCCCCATAAAGTGCAGTGAAATGTAACAGAAAACCATACTGCACAAAGAAACAGGTCGCTGGTCTTTCTGGAGAGCTTCCACAAGCAGATGAGCAGGGAGCGAGACGCCTTGGGGTGATGGAAGGGCTAGGGAGGTGGTGGGCTGGGTTCCTCGCTTTACCATGGTCTTGGAACTGTGGGCTTCAGCCAAAGGAGGAATCACCACAAGTGACTGGCCTTTGGATCATGTTTGATCTTCCAAGATATAGCCCTGATTTACCTGCTTAATTCCAGCTAAGTCCAAACCACCGTAATCCTTGCTCTCAGAAAACAAACACCTTCCTCACTGGGTTCCCTCTGTCCACTGCTGCCTGGCCCTCCCCTTGTCTTGACAGAGTAGCCCCAGTGACCTTCCCACACTGTTCATGTTTCGTCCCACCTCTTCCCTTCATCTTGTATCCCTGTCCACCTCCCTCACTCTCTTCTGTTTTATCAAGCTCGATTCCCCGACGAGGACTTTGCATTGGCTGCTCCCTCTGCATCAAATGCCTTTCCCTCCGTTTTTTTTCACATGACTTCTCATTCTTTTGCTCTCAGCTTAAATGTCCTGTCTTCTGAAAGTTCTTCCCTGCTCGGCCATCTTATCTAAAGTAGGGACCCCTTCCCGTCATTTCACTTTGGTTTCTGTCCCGCTTCTCCTTGAAATTTATTACCGCCTGTGATTATTAATGCATGTGTTCATGTGTGGTCTTTGCAACTAAATTCTCGGCTCTCTGGGGGTCAGGAAATCTCTCCCTGATTTAACATGTTATTCCCCTCTCCTAGCACAGTGCCTGGCACATAGTACCCACTCGGTAAATACTCATCAAAGACATGCATGAACTCACAAACAGCACAAACGCTGATCGCACGAACATAAATATTACCGCTCACTGAAAACCTTCTCAGGTCCCACTGCTGGAAGCTCCGTATTGGTTAATGACATTGGCCTCTTAGTGGAGGCTGACAATTATCCCATTTAAACATAACACGATTATTCACGGCATCTTCACCGGGTTTGGTGGATGGGAGATGGTTTACAGACAGTAATCACCATGCTTCAATGGTGAAGAAGTGGGAGGACCTCAATAAGTTCTTAACAGGAACCAGGAACTTAGGAACTAAGTTCCTAACAGATTCCCATGACCTGCTGGCTGTTTCCAGTACTGAATCTTCCCAGTGAAAAGAGTATGCGGCAAATTCAAGTGCCCCTGATTTTGGATGGCTCTACGTCAAAGACCTGCTGTCTTCCACCGAGTTAAGTCATGTTTAATGAAAAAGATTCGGTCCTAGCAGCAGCCTTTTGAAGCCATCCACTTAGAAACTGTTATGCATGGAGGAAGAGTCACTCAAAGTGATGTAATGTGTTTATGTCTGTCACATGAATACTGGTTCGCATAGGACCCTCTTCACAAGTTATAGCCAATGACTTTATGACCTACTTAATTTTATTAGGGATGTATGTTGGCCAGGTGCAATTTTCTATCTACTGAAGCAGCTTTATCAAGTATAATGCACTAATGTCAGGCACTATCAAGAGGAAAATGCAATTCTTCGGGAGAAAATAGCCCCCCTTACAATTATCTTTATTGTCAAATGAATGCAAGTGTGATTCAGTAATCTGCAGTATGTTCTTAAACTAGGTTCTATAAAAGCCATTTCTTTGCATAGACGGAAGGCGAGATTCACTGCAATCTTAACGTTTCTTTTGACACAGATTTCAAAAGTTAATTGCCAGAAAAACTTCTTTTTACATCTGCTCTCTCAACAAATTGTCAGTAGTTTCCACCTAACAACTACAGACTTCACATGATAAAATGATGAAAACGCTTCATTTGGCTTTATCCCTTTTCAGTTGAGGCAGACATCCCACCACGGGGTGGAAGGAAGTAGTACTGGTCGCCCAGCTCCATTCCTATCACAGACTAGCAAGATGGTATAGGGTGAGGTGTTCTGAATGGGAAATCTTTGTAGAGAGTAAATGAAAGAGCGTTAACCTTGGGTCATATTGACGAGGGGGTCTCACCTTTCCCTTTGGCTAAGTTTCTGTTGTATCCAACAGGACTGAAGTACTCGAAGACAAAAACAGCGATGGCGGACACAATGAGCAGCATCACGAACATCATGACCCAGACGGAGGCGCTGAACGGTTCTGCAGGGGAACAGGCCAGAGGAGTGGGACATGGTCAGTGGGACACGGTCATGCAAGACCAGCAAGAAGACCAGAGGCCCACTGGCAGGCTCACTGAGAAACCCACCCTCACGTGACTCCAACCATTCAAAAGAAGCTAGTCAATGTGGATTCACACGTCTTCACCGTCCTTCATTCTACAACAGGTCTGAGGTATTTTATAAGGCTGCATATAATAGGATAAAAATAGAGAAGAGCACATGACATTTTCCAAACTGGGTCAAGGAGTGGAAAAACAAATGGGAGAAAGAATGCAAATAACGAGACCATCCGGTCCTATGATCATAGTAACACGCAGGGGACCAACGCTAGAAGGGGAAGCAAGACTAGACCCAAACAGTCAAGCCTAAGGCTTCTGCAGATCAGCACAGGCTTTATTCTTGTTTTCATTTTTATCTTTACATGCCAGAGGGACGGTGGGCAGGGAATTCCAGAAGGAAAGGGAACATTACAACCTGTTAGAAAAGGACTATAAAATCACGGAGTTGACAGCAATACTGGAAGGTCACCGTCTGCCCCCACTACTCCCATGCTCCCCACCTCACCCTCTGCTCCAGACAGATGAGATTTCTACAAGTTTAAAATCTTGTTGATGTTGGTAATGGGCTTAAATGCATTTGAAAAGTCATTTGAGGATATTACACTCACATGGTAATTCAATGAAAAACATCACTGAGAGTAGAGGCAATGAAGTAGTAGATGGACAGATGGTTATTTCCCCCCCACCGAAAGGAGTTTAGATCACGCTCATTTTCATAGAGATGTCTCAGAAGGGCAGGCCAAGTCACAAGGTTCTATATCTTAGAACACTCAAGAAAGTTAAGAGCGTTTGTATTCAGTCTGATTGAGGGAGCCGAATGGAGCCATTGTATCCGCATGTGACACAAGTTTGCTAGAAAATCAGCAAAGGCTAAAATTTTGAAAAATGAAAATATCTCCACCTGAATGCATCATTGGGAAGAAACTGCCCTTGGATACCAATATATGTATAATTCTTTGCCTCATAAGCAAACATTTTCTGAGGGTAAAATATAAGAAGGCCAGTAACACTTCTTGAAGAGCAGACATTTTATTATTTTTAAATTGTTTTTCTGATGGAGCTAGTAATAATCATAAGGAACTAGGCTGGTCGCAAGCCACCTTATCATTAAAGTCTGTGACTCCCTAACACAGCTAGAGGTCATCGTAAATTCCAACTTAATGAGCTTACTACATAGCAAGAAACTAGTATGTCCAAAGCTTTAACTACACTGGATAATTTAGAAACCAGAAGGAATGGTTTGCAATGCAGTTTTGACAGTGCGGATATGTTAAAAAGGAACAGGTAACAACACAGCCCATTCGGTCTGAATAAGACAAGATGAGTTTGAAGAAACCAACGAGATTGCAACAACGTATCTTCACTGAAATTACTTTGGGTGGTAGCAATACCACGGCCTTGAAATCATTGCAGTTTGGTAGTGAGGTATATCCACACAGAACAAAGTGGGTAATTAGGGGATTAAAAATACTAAACATTCAAGATAGAAAGAAATGGTGAAGTCATTCTCTGAGTTGGGTATGTTCATGGGACAGTGTGTCTTTACTACAGGAGATCTCCGTGAGGAGTCAGCGAGCATGGACATGGAAAGTGCTGGGTGGCGTGTGGTGGTGTGTGTTGCGCACTACACACACAGTATGTGAAACGGAACAGTTGTTTGATTCCATTGTTAAAGCCGGAACCCGGAGCGGGGGTGGGGGCGCGGGGGGTGCACTTCCTGAAAAAGGCATCCTGGTTTAAAACCTGCGCGTTCATTAATCTGATAACTTTTCTCTGCAGGTTGGGATAACATGATAAAAAATACAAGAGGGCATCCTTTCTGAATTCTTCCTTCGCACATCAGAACCTGTAAGTGTGCAGTGGGCTTAGAAGGAAGCCGGATCAAGCAACTGATCCCAGATGTCTTCCCACTTGGAAGCGACATCTGTCGCTTGACTTGTGATCATGGCACGGGGATAAAAGGCTTCTGCGACAGGGTTCTGGTTTCAATAAGTTGGGTACCTAGGAGCGCCCTGAAGGACTGCTGTTCTCACACACACACACACCACCATGTGTAGAAAAGCATCACAGTAATGGTGAAACACCACCATTAGACGTGTCTAAGGAGGGACCCAGAAATATTTTGGGTGGCTCTGGATTACGTCCTCTACTGGTTTAAAGCAGACGCATTCATTCACGAAGGGACTTCAATCTAGGAGACTCTGGGTCAGCATTTCTTTGGATCGAATGACCCCATCTGCTTGGCAAGTCTTTGGAAGTAACTGAATGGCAATATCACAAGAGACGCCACCTCTGTCCTTGAAGAGCCACCGGTTACATTTTTACACAAAAACTCAAGAGGCATTACCTGCTAGTGTTTCCAGTGGGAGCTAATGGAGTTTGTGGAGAGAGGACAGGAAATACTGAAGAGTAATGCAATCAGATTTTGAATGTTTGGGCCCTTCCAGATGACTGAGCCAGTGAATGGAAAAATGTAGGTTAGCATGATTCATTATGACTTTCAAAACCTGCCGATAATGACCGTAAATAAGGGGGCACACAATCCAATAGGGATGTAATTTAGTGAGTTGAAAAACTATGAAGGCTACTGATGTTAAAACAGCTTTGAAAATAGTTTCCTCTGGCTACAATATATCTTTATTTTATTTTTAAAGATACGGTAGGAAGAGTAAGGGTGGAAAGGAGGCTTAACTTAGCAAAACTACCTGACTTTTTAATGGAAATGTCCTACGAATGCAGGTAAGATAAAAATCCAGGGGAAACTGGGTTGAGGCCAAATTCGATATCAGCAACCCATTTTTTAATGAGCCAAGCCAGCTGATGGTACTCCCCCCCCCCCCCCCGATTGAATTGGGAAGAAAAGTTTTCTCTAGCTCACTATGGAGATATGGCAACAACTTGTGAAAAGAAACAGATCTCTAGGGGCGCCTGGGTGGCTCAGCTGTTAAGCGTCTGCCTTCGGTTCAGGTCATGATCCCAGGGTCCTGGGTTCGAGTCCTGCTCCGCGGGAAGCCTGCTTCTCCTTCTCCCATTCCCTCTGCTTGTGTTCCCTCTCTGGCTGTGTTTCTGTCAAATAAATAAAATCTTAAAAAAAAAAAAAAAAGGAAACAGATCTCATGGGGCTCCTGGCTGGCTCAGTCGCTGAGGGCGGGAATGTCTCTCTCCCTCTGCCCCTCCTCCTGCTCCCATGCACTCCCTCTCTCTTAAAAACAAAAGAAAAGAGAGGAGAGGAGAGGAAAGAAGAAGAAGAAGGAAAAGAAAACAGATCTTTCCTCATTCTTTCCATGAACTCACTTCTTCCAACCTCTTCTTAACCTCCAGGGCCAAAGAGCCCTGTTAAAGGGCGTCCTAGGGAGTGGGAAACCGTGATAAGGACAGGCTCACTCACACCACCCAATCACTGCTAAGACTCCGCCTGAGTTGTCCGGGTCAGTCGGTAGCATTTTGCCTGGTGTCCTGAGGCTCCCTAACTGAGATACGGGTCATTATCCATATCCGACAAAGACGTGTTTCTGTTGAGAACGGAAGCGGGGGTGCAACGTGAAATCTGGGCAGAGGTAAGGATTTCAACCGCTTCAGTGCGTTATAAAAAAATGCAAACAGCAAATCCAGGCGTCTCCGCGAGTGAGGCGGAATCCAAAATCCTTGCCGTCAGCCTTCCGCTCAAGAGAAGGAAGCAGGGACAGCTTCCCTGGAGGGCCCCACGATGGACCAGTGAAGATGGTGGGGAAAGAAGACCACTGGCCGGGAGCCGCTGGCCACAGACTGTCTCTGGGCTGCAAGTGCGAGCTCTCCAGCAGCTGCGCGTGTGTCCGGAAACGTGTAAGAAATCTGGTTGACTCTGATCTGTTTCCCCTCTCTCGTGCAGTTTGCTTTAGGGGTTGGCCTCAGCCTTCCCAAATCTGGGACAAACCCACGGATACGGGGGCGCCAAGGAGAAGGGAACGGGAATCCCACGATCTTCAAGGCAGCTGCTCTCAAAAGCTGTTGGTGATAACCTGATACTCCATATCAGACTTTCCTTTAAAGAAAAAATAAATCATGCATGGCTGCGTCCCACGCGGTTTCTCCCTCTCTGGCCAGGCAACTATGCATACAGTACTAAAGGAAACAGGATGATAAAAAAGTAGAGCTCTACCTCGCTTTAAAAAAAAAAATTTTTATGTCAAAACATGTATTTATGAAAATAGTTAAAAGGAGAGCAAGGAATTTTTCTCCCTTACAAACCAGTCCGCTGGAAGGATAGTCACATTTAAAATATGATTCCGTTAATTTTCCATCAGTGTATGCTCTCCAGAGTACTTGCATTTTGTTTATCCGAGTGCTGGTATAAATCACGGTGCGGTCATCGTCATTTCACCCTCAAATCCAGTAAATAAACGGCTGTCATGCCAGTGAGGGATGGACGATGGGAATGAGGACGCGGAATAAAGGCTTATGGGCTGATTTAAATTAACTGTGGACAGGCAGGCTTATTTTTTTAAATGTTTTCCAGGCTCTGAGACGTGTATGTGCTAATCTCCATTCTGTACAATCGGGACCAATATGTGAATATGCGATTGTGTGTTCAGGATCATTCCGAATCCGAGATAAACAAAAGATGTTAATGGGGTTGGCTGGGGGTGTGGGGGTACAGAATTGAGATCATTCAAATAGGACAGGCTCTGGAATGCAGTGATGTCATTGCAAGGAACTGACCAAGGTCCTGCCTGGTTCCATCCTTCCGGCAAACAAGACAAATGCTTCTAGTTCCCTGTTAGGAAAACAGCAGTGACCTTGGTGTCCACCTACCTAGAAAAGCAGAAGGTGAGACAGTGCCGTTGCTTCTTGAAACCATGACACTGATCCCCGTCTCCACAAAGGGCACGGAGAAGTCCACCACTTCCGAGCGCTCCTCGTTGATGGTGAGCGAGCCGACCGCCATGACCGCCCGTTGGTAGACCACCTGCACGCAAGGCAAAGTAGCACAGACCCTTTACTTGCCCTTCCCACCACCCCCGAGCACCGCAGGCGCGGAGTCCAGATTAGAGCCCACGGGAGGAAGGCCACTTACTTCCCCAATCATCCCGTTCCACACATTGTTGACTTTCTTGCCATGCTTCCCATTAGTCACCAGGTAAAGGTCATAGGTGAACTTCACAGTGCGGGAAAGCTTCTTCAGGATATCGATGCAGAAGCCCTTGCAGCATTTTTTAACATTCATGCCCTCATTGGTTGAATTGCTGTAGGAGAAAAAAAAAAAAACCCGAGACCGTAGAATATGAGCACGGGGAGATCTGCTTACCATCATGACCTAAGATGTTTCCACCGTTTTCCATGCGGGAAACTGAGGCTCAACAGGAGGGAAGGGCTTTTTCAAGGACAGGCAGTAGTTTATGTCGGCAAAAGGACTAAGTGTTCTCATGGGACAGTAACCACAACGGCTAACTTTTATTGAGTGATTATTTGTGCCATGTACAATGCTTCAGGATAATTGTTGAAATAAACTCCATGGCATTTCTCTTAGTTAACAGTAACGGTTTCTCCATTATACCACCTCTTATCTTTATGTTTATGATACCTACAGCCCCTTTAGAAAGTTCTGGCACATGATCTGAGCTGAACTATAAAAGCTTATCAGAAAATGGAAGAGAGACAGATGACGTGAAATTCTCAGCTGAAGGAGGGTTTTGCTTTATCCTACCACTGCAGATAGAGGTTTGCAACCAAAGAGAACAAATAAAGGTGTCTTCCTTAGGAAATGCACTTTGCTTCCTGAGGAAACCGTGACTGAGAACCAGAAGACGGGGATCCACCTCGTGTCTGAGTCCATGAACTTACTGTATCTTGATGGAGTCATCTGTCAAATGAGGGCTCCCTCCTAACACTTTCCCTCCCTCCCTACATCGCAGGAAGTATAAAAGCTGACACTTTGAAACAGTAATGTTCTTGATCAGGAAAAAGCCCTATTAAAATAGGGAGGGTACTGGCCTCTTAAAAGCTGTCATCAACTACCAAGGTGACAAAGGTGGCTTTGTGCCAGCCACCCTGCTCTTACTTTATTCACCTGGCCAAGTCATATTCAAAGGACTATACAAATCAAAGGACTATACAAAAATATAAAATTTTAAAGGCACTATAAAGTGCCTTCAAAAAGGAAAGAAAGAGTGTCTTCCCAACTAACAGCTGCTACTTGGACAATTCCTGTCGGAAGATCAAGACCTCTCCGGGTGGTGGCCCAGCTGGTCCACATGAGCTCAGCTCCCTGAGTCACGAGTGTCACGAGATACGTGCTCTGGACATCCCACGGCGGGGCCATCCACGCACCCAACTGTTACGTAAGCACTAAGTGATGCTTATGGAGATGCAACTTCACAATAGGAAAATACTTCCATTTCCATATCACAGGGAAAAAAGTAGGTTACACAGTGTTCCATACAGAACAGTCCCAGCTAGATAAAAACAGATGAGCTTATGAAATATCTGGACAGAAAAACAATGAAATAGGAAGCGTAGCTATTTTTGAATGGTGAAAAATAACTTCTCTTTTTCGTGGTTTTAGGTTTTCTTCCCCCCACAAATTAACTGCAGTGAGTATATACTACACATATAATTAGATACACACACACACACACACACACACACACACACACACACACACCCACCCACCCACCCACACCCAAGCACCACTGACGTCTGTCTCAGCCCAGGGACACGGGGAGATTTGACAGTGTGACTTCGAGTAATGGTAGGGGGTTGCAAAATGCCATGAACATGACAGAAATGTGTCCAAAGTGCATTAAATCAATGGCATGTCCAAATACAATTTCCTTCTCAGTATCTATCTGGGGCTCATTGAAAAATGTGGAAGAGCCAATTCTTTTTTTTTTTTTTTTCCTGGCCACCACGGGCCACACATCAATGCCTCCTCTCAACCTCTTCCTATCTCTGTCTCCTTTGTCCTCTGCTCCCTCCCTTCTTCTGTCAAAGGGTCTTCCTTCTCCTGGTCTGGATTCCGGGGAGAGCCTGGATAGCAGTTACAAACACCCCAAGCTTAAGATTCGGGGTCACAGGTGCACAAGGGTAATCTTTGGCCTCACTGAGAATCTTAGCCAGCTAATGAAGTAAGTACCTCCCCTAGTCTCCTAATAGTAGGCGTACATCTAGATTCAGGTCTATGTCTAGATGCAGCAGTCATTAATACATTTTCACATTACCTACTGTGTGCAAGACATGGAATTATACCCTGGGACCATGGGATGAAAAGCATGCAGCAGATGCGACAGATGAATTTCTCCCGGGGATTACGGAAACACAGACCGGTTTGTAACTGAAAACTTTCATGAGTTCTAATCACAGCCCTGGTGTATGGGCACAGGGGGGTGTGATTTGACCACAAAGACATCTGAGAAATGGCGCCCAATGCAATCTTTTCCCGTTCCCCACCATCACCCAAAAGAAAAGTGACCCATAAAAGCCTATGTGAAGAAAGGGATCTAATAAGAAATCCAGCTCCCCAGCTCTCCAGTTTCCCAGTGTGGCCAGTGGATGGGATCATGGCTGTGGAGGTCGGACAGAGCCGCTGAGAGGTCCCAGGTCTGCGCCTCACCATCAGGAAGACACAGACCAGTTTCTTCACTAACAAGCCTTAGCGTGCTCCCTTGCAAATTAAGAAGGCTGGTGCTTACCTTGCAAGATAGTTGGGGAGATTAAATAAAATAAAGTAGCTACAGCACTTCTCACATTAAGTGCTTAAAAATACATTTCCTCTCTTCTTACCGACCATCTGACAGTTTGGGGAATTAATCGACAGGATGGCCATTTTCCCCCGATGTAACAAGCCAGATCATTTTTTCTCGATTTTCTCTTCATGCCTTAAGACCCAACTAACAGATGAAAAGAAATGCTTGATTCCCCAGCTCATTTCCTGTTACCTATGTTTTTAGAAGACTGATGTGTGTCCTAAAGACCCCACCATTCACCAGAAGTGAGAGAAAACGTTTTCCCTGGGAGAACGTCACCAAGAAAAATAGAGCCATGTTACCTACCAGAATCCTTCTTAGAACCAATCAGCCTGCCTCAACGGTATCACCTTTAGGAAATGCAATCGATCTGATCTGTGTTAGTACTGAGATGAATGGGTTCCAGCAATTGCCTATGGCTTTCAAAGACTTTGATATCGCCTAGATGTGCAGTAACCTTGTCCCGTGGCCAAGTGAGAGAAGGAAGCTACAAACCACCACCTCCCACAGGAACCAAAAATGTGAATTTGAACCTGTTGATCTGTTTATAGTCTCTACTAAAAAACGTAATTCTTTTAAAGAGAGTAATTTATTGGGGGGGGTGGGGTTGGTTATTTTCTCCATACAAATGTGGCTCAGGACTCGTGGACCTACTGTTGTCAGCTCCAAGGCTTCTGATGTTAAAGATTTAAAGCTCCCATGATTGAGTAGGCTCTACTTGATGGCCCCATCAAAACAAGAAAGGCACCATTGTCATAAAGGAGGTGCCCTGACTGAGGTCAGGGTCCTCGCTGTGTGCCAACCGCCCTGCTCTCTTCATCTGACCAAGCTGTGCTCAAAGACCACCCACCCAAATCTAACTCTGGTTGGACAACTTTCCCGCATTTACCCCTTCCGTCTCCCACCCAGCGCATCACTCTCCAGCACCACCCTGGGCTTCCTTCTGTTTCTCACACCTGTCAGTCTCTTTCCTACCTCAGGGCCTTTGCACCCGCTGTTCCCTCCACCCAGAAGCCTCTCCCCCTGTTCTTCACATGTTCATTGTCCTTTTTTGTATCATCTCACATGTCACCTGTATGAGCTGAAGAAGCCCCACGCACCTCAAGTGACTCTCGCCTCACACCACCTTATTCTTACCCTTTACAAGGTTTATCGTAACATGGAGCTGTCTTGATCTTTTAGTGGCTGAGCTGTTTTGTAACTGTGTGCGCTCTATATGACAAGACCCCCGTCTCTCGTCTTCTCTGTTTGCTGATGTAGCCTCCGTGCCCTGCACTGAGCCTTACACATGAACTGTGCTTCCTGTGTATGTATTCATTGACTAATCTATTCAAAATTTCAACTCCAATGAGACTCCTCATTGATTTAAAAAAAGGGGGGGGAGCTTTCTCCAATCTACAATGTACCTTCATAATCCATTTTGCAATCATATTTTTAAAAAATGATCTTTATCTCAAGCACTGGGCTCCGGGGATCTGCATCTTGCATAACGACTTCCGTTGGAATCTGGGATGTGGGAGGACAGGTACCTGTTCACTCATACATTTAAGCATTATCAACACTGGGGGGTCCCGTTCTGTGCTTATCACCGGCATACAAAGACTAGTAAGCCACGTTTCCAATATTTTGGCAGCTCCCACTCCAGGGGCAAAGACAAACTGTAATCCATAGAAACAGGCGACAGAGAAATCGAGCAGTGGGCGCTGAACGTTTGAGTTCCTTCAAAGTCGTGTGTTAAAACCCTAAACCCCAGGGCGATGGCATTAGGAGGTCGGGCCCTTGGGAGGTAAAGCCCTCAGGAATGGGGCGCGTGCCCTTAGAATGAGACAGGAGAGCTTGCCTCCTTTCTGTCTGCTCTCCACCACGTCTGACGCCAAGAGAACACGGCCGTCTGCACTCCAGACACCCGGCTGGTGGGCTCCCGGCCCTCAGAACCGTGAGAAGTAAGTGTCTCTCTTTTTTAAGCCACACTGTCTGCGGTGACTTGTCACAGTGGCCTGAACAGACTAAGGCACAGAGACACACCCAGGGTTCTGCGGAAGGAGGGATGGCAAAGCCAACTTGGGGAGGGACTGAAAGGACCAGGGAGAATTATCCAGATGAAAGGAGGGGCTCGGAAAATACTGACAAAAGTACTCCAGTGGTAGGCCTTTTCCCTTCGCGAAAATCCCCACGAGGGCGTGCTTTCCTTTCTGTTCGCACTAGAAAGACTAGAGTCAGGGCCTTGGACCTGGTCACAAAGCTTTATGCTCTCCCAGAAGGCTGATAGGTTAGGGACAAACTCCACCAGAAGCTCTCACAAAAATTGGCAGTTCTTACTTCGGTCGTTAATTTAAAAAAAAAAAAAGGAAATGGCACGGATGGGATGCTGGCTTGCTGTCGGTAAACTAGGAGACCCAGAAGGTCAGGTCCATGCCAATCACATCAGAGAGTCCTACAGAAGGTGTACCATGCCGCCCCCCGCCCCCCCGGAGAGAAGTTTCCAGAGTGTTTCCAGAGTGTGTATCTGGGATATATAATAAAGATGGGAGGGAGGAGATGTGCAGTTTGGAAGAGGGAGCAGTCAGAAAAATAGAAATATATATATATATATATTTTTAAGGAAAGACTAAGAATATGGTGGTGGAGGGAGCTGGATGAGCATCTGAGTCCCAGCTCGTCTCACAGCTCTGAGCGTGTTTCTGAATCTCCCCATAACTCAGTACAAATATCTAAAGGGACCCAAACCACTTACCTCCTATTGCTGTTGCTGGAATTAAATGAGTGTAAACCACCTGGCATACTTCCAGTTATTACCTCTTAAAAAAAAATCTAATATTATAGATTATAATCTAGTATCAGAATAGCCTACTTTATATGACATTTTATTACGGTACCACGGGTGCCGTTGCCGAGGACACGTGCTGGCTTTAAAGGACCGGGCGCATTCAAGAGACACCACCCCCGGACTCACTTGATTCGGACAAACTTCCGGCACGGCACGGTGTTCCTCACGCACGTCTCGGTCAACGGGTCTATGTCCTCCACGATGACAAAGGGGGCCTCCTCCAGGGTGACGATGCTCAGATGGTTGTCGTCCGGCTCACAGTCTGAGAAGGACTTGTACCTTGGCCACACGGCGTGCCGCAGGCTCAGGGTCTGGTTCTCCCACTTGCCCACCTGCATCAGAGAGACAAAGGCACACCTGTGCTTTTTTGCAACACTGACTTCTAGAAAGGCGACTCCTTACCTGAGCGAGGTCCGAGGCATGAACTCTACCCATCTTGAGGGCTTTTCTGTGACCTACCTCCACATATGCTTCTGTGTACATGTTAAAAAAGATAGGGCTAAAGGGAGAACAGAGGACTGGGCAGCCCCCACACCCTGGCTTGTCCCCCGCTAATTAATATGGCGATGGTGCCTACACGATGAGGGGGGAGAGCTCCCCAGGTGATCTTAATGTTCTGCCAGAGTTTGGGGCCACTGACGTCGCAAGAGCAGCGTGCACTTTTAGAATCAGAGAAGTCTAGGCTGGGACCCCCACCTGTGCCATTCAGTAGCTATACAAACCGGGCAAACTCTGGACCATTGGGAACGTCTGTTTTCTCCTCTGTAAACAGCACAACTCCACCTACTTCGTAAGGATGTCGTGGCAAATTAAGTAAGACAGTCTGGGAACAGCGACCCGCACCGTGCCCAGCACGTAGGATGGATTCCATACTTTTAAAGTGTAGGAGAGAGACAAGAGAAGGAGAAATTTTTAAAAGATGCTAAGGGAAGGAGTTTGAAGAGAGGAAGATGATGTGGAAGACGAGGCAGGAGGACTGACGGGAGAGTCAGCATGAGAGGGACGCACAGGAGAGGAAATCAGGAGCATCATTTCAAGCCCAGATATGGTTCTATTTAAGTTGCAAATTAAGGTGAACTGTTATTAATCTGGCCCGAAGCAGAGACTTGGAACGCTTAGCGTGCACCAAGACCTGTCAAAATAGAATCGATCTCTTCCCTCTGAGCAGCAGTCGGCATGTTAGCAAAATCAAATTGAAGGCTGTATGTTTTGAACCTTAATTTTATTTGACAGCGTATTGGCACTATTCGTATACTGCTCTGGGAGAAAGCTGCTCCCGGCACCGCGCTTCCTCCCTCCTCCTGCTCCCGTGCACAATTGCTTGACATCACAGGTCAGCGCTTTATTGGTAATACCAACCTCAAGGAAGCACCTCGTCCAAAAAGCTAAGTGCCAAGTCCCGGCTTGTCTGTGTTGACGTGACCCACTCACCACCCCTCCTGTAATGTGAGTGTCGCCAGAAATGAATTTCAGGCCCATAAAGAGAATTCGGACACCCCGGACACCCAAAGGGGTGACGGGGTGGCAGGAGAAAAGGCAGATGGTGCTCTCCTAGACCATCCTGGAAAACGTTCGCTGCTTATAGGGAAACATTGCATGTAGCCAATTACAGAACTGTCCAGCATCGCCGATCCCTTCCTTTGTAAGACAGGAAGGGCTGTAGGAGAATTTGGTCCAACAAATAGGTTCGTCTACCACTGCTGTGATGTGTAACACAGGCCAGGGAGAATGCTGAACCCGTCAAATTCCTCATTCACTCCACACGGATTTCTTAAACACCAACCGTGTGTAGCCACCAGCCTGGGAGCGATGGTGGATAAAACTGAATGATGCTTGTCTTCTCGGAACCGTCAGTCTGCTGCGGGACAAAGACTAGACTAATGGAAATAAATATGCAACTAGAAAAAAAAAAAAAAAGATGGCCATGCTTTTCCTTTCGGGACATGTTCCCTCCATTCCTTTTCTTTCCACTTCTCTCGGAAAAGCCACACCTTCAAGAGGGGCCGGGTAGTTCAGCGGGTAAGAGAATGGCTTTTGGAGTCACACAGAGCTAAGGGCTCATCCCGGCTTCATCCATTTAGCTGAGTGGCCTCGGGAAAGTCACTGAACCTCTTGCGTTTTATGTTCTCTATCTGCAAAATGCTGATAGCTACGGGACATGACCTCAAGGACTGTAGTAAGTTTCCGATGAGCCAAAATGCCTATGTAGCATCGAGCACAGAACTTAGCATGTCACGTGCGTGGTAGCTGCCATTATTTTATTATTGTTGTAGTCTGCATTTAGGACTTAGCTCAAAGACCACCTAATCTGCAAGGGCATGCCTCCTTTCCCTAGCAGTACGGAACTCTGCACCTGTCCACCATAGCTCTTCGATGCTGTAATTATTCACAGTGTCGGTTATGAGCTCTCCTGTGTTGTCGGGGAATGTACTGATACCACCCGTGACTCTGACCCCCACAAATCCCACAGGGTAAGGGTTCTTCTTCCAACTTTGCAGTTCAGAGAACGGAAGCACAGAGACATAGAACCTGTCCAGACATAGCTGGGAAGCCGTGGAACCAGAGCCATACCACAGGGCTGTGTGAACCCAAAGCTGCTTCTATTAAGTGATCTGCGGTAACCACGTCAGAGCTCCGAGACCCTTCCTCCCTCACACAGACAGCCCCGGGGGAGCCCCAGGGGAGTCCCAGGAAACAGCAATCAAGGCAAAGACCATTTAGCCAGCAGAACCTTTGGTGATGTTATTGGCCACATCACTATACCCTACACCATGAAGTCAGGCAAAGGTTCCCATGCAAGACTGACTCCCGGGGAGAGAGGCAGCGAAGGTGTCTGAGTTCCTAGAGTGTATTAACATCCCAAGTCTCCCCTAAGTTACTGTTTCCCTTCCCATCTCTAAGTAAGCACCCGCAGGTCCAGCAAGGAGGGTTGGAAGCAAGCGGTGGGCGGAAAAACTTGAACAGCCAAAGCTGCTTTGTCAATGCTGCCGGCATCATCAAAGCTCCCAATGACTCCCCTGAGTCTGCTGGGCTGCCCTGATAGGCTCCTCAAGTCCCCAGATCCCGACTCCAGGATTCTCCGTACCACATGGGGAAAAGAGACTTTCCCCTCCTATGTGCACTTCCACGAGGGATTCTAACTGAGTCAGTCCAGTGCTTGTAGACAGAATGAACAAAGATTCACTCGCTCCTTGGGACACCTGCATGGCTCAGCCGGTTAAGCCGCTGCCTTCGGCTCAGGTCAGGATCCCAGGGTCCTGGGATCAAGCTCTGCATTGGGCTCGAGCAGGGAGCCTGCTTCTCCCTCTCCCTCTGCCTGCCTCTCTGCCCACCTATGATCTTTCTCTGTCAAATAAATAAATAAAATCTTCAAAAAAAAAAGATTCAATCACTCCCTAAGTTTTTACGGGTGGACCACTAGCTGTCAAGCCCGGCACTAGGCACCGAGGAGACTCGAGAACACGCAATTAAGTTTTCCCTTGCACGGAATTTTTACACTAAATGGGAAGATAGACATGAGTCCAATAATCACACAAAAACACATCATACAAACTGGGCGGAAGAAAGAAAAAAATGGGTCTAAGAGAACAGATGGTGGGGGTGGGGGAGAAATCACAGAGGGCTTCCCTGAGGGGGTGGCACTTGAGTGGAGATCGGAAACCCCAAGATGAGTAGGTGGGGGGCTGGGGGGGTGAAGGGGAGGGAGAAAACCTCACGTAGGCAGGGGCTCGATGACGCAGAGCCTTGCAGGTCCTCTTAAGGAGCTGAGGTTTACCCTAGGAGTTCATCCAGTCTGTTGGCCAGGAGGGAAAGGCTGGATGGAAGTGACCACGGATATATGTCCACATGTAACCTGCCCAAAGGAGGAAGCTCCGTGCTCCCTCAGTGCATCTTTGCTTCTCTTTCTTGATGGAAAATTTTAAACTCCTACAAAAGTGGGACAGTGTAATGAATCTCCATGTTCCCATTATCTCGCTGCAGTAATTACTACCTCATGGCCAACCTTGTTTCATTTATTTGCCACCCACATCTCCTATACCACATTGCAGGAACTCCCAGACACGGCCACATTTCATTCATAAATCCTTAATTCGATTTAAATATCTAATCTCTATTTGCTTAATAACATTACATCTCAACAAGCTATGTGTTTCTCTGATTAGATTAGGATTCCCCTGCCTAGGAGGGATTTCCTACAGACACTGATTGGGTGTGAGGTTCCCCAGCTTCTAACTCAGGGCCTGGCGCAAGGAGGGACTTCATGGACAGTTATTGATGGAATGAAGGAACACGAGACCTGAATTTCTAAAAACGTCCATGAGTTGGAAAATACTAGCAGACTGATCGATGTGTCCGTATCGGCCTCAGCTGTGGGATTTTGCGCCCCAAGCACAATACTGAAGTAACAAAGCCCGTATTCTCTCCCTCGCTCGTGCTTTACTTTCACTTTGACTTCAGGCCCCTCGACGCAGAGCCTTCGAGAGTGACTACATCCTATTTTCCAGATGGAGCCAAGACCATCAGGCCCATGCCAATCAATTTAAATTTAAAAGGGGCTCCAGCCACTCTGAAGCACTCAAGAAGATGGCAAGTGTCAGTGGAATAAACCACGAAGTGAGAAGAAACGTGTCACACCATCTCTGCTTGCTTGCCTTAGTGTCCCTAGGACCTAAATGGACACAGACTACGAATGCTCCCTGTGCCTTTCTCTAAAGGTCACATCCAAGACAGAAGAACCTTGGGCCCTCTGAGGACAGTAGCCATCAATCTCTCCCTCCCTGCTCCCATTTTGAGCTGATGGTGACTGTCCTGCTATTCTTTCTTTTTTTTTTAAAGATTTTATTTATTTGACAGAGAGAGAGATCACAAGTGGACAGAGAGGCAGGCAGAGAGAGAGAGGGGGGAAGCAGGCTCCCTGCAGAACAGGTAGCCTGATGCGGGGCTTGATCCCAGGATCCTGAGATCATGACCTGAGCCGAAGGCAGAGGCTTAACCCACTGAGACACCCAGGTGCCCCTGTCCTGCTATTCTTTAAACGAGACCTTCTTCTGGCCCCCAGTCCCCTCCAAAATCGGGCACACCCCATGGGGCAGAGTCTGTAACACTAGAGCAGCAGGTTCCACCTGCCCCAGAGAAGTTAGTGCGTTCCGAGGCTGCACCACACGTCCTCCTGGGGGTAAGTTTTCACGGCATCAGAGCAAGTGAAGTGTTCCTGTCTCTGTTACACACATGGCCCTATTTCTGGCACTCCAAAGGAAAAGGGAGTACCAGGAGGCCTTGCTAAATTTCCGGTTAGATCTCCACGTGACTGGGACGGGAAGGTGCACTTGAG